AATGCAAAGACACCGCGAAAGTGAATTGTGCGCGAATTTGATGTATCACGAATCCGACCCCGGCCAGGCGGGTTACCCCACCTTGAAACGTTTACATGACAAATTGTGACCCCGGCTGAGAGGGTAACCCGGTCTGGTAGACCGGGCTACCCGCCTTGGCGGGTCACCCCACCTATCATGTAAACGTGATCAAATGAAAATGAGAGATTATATGGACAGGCGGGTTACCTCACCTAAGCGGGTTACCTCACCTACCTGGGGTCCCCCACCTCCATGTAAGCAGGCCCTAAATATCATAAAATGTAATCGTTAGTATGGTAGTTATAAAACTCAATAGTTACAGATTTAAACACTACTGTAAATTATGTACACTTTTAAAAGTAAAATACACATCTCATTCTCAATGAGAATGACATTAACAGCTGCATAAGGCTTATGCTGAGCAAATAGAGCTGTGTCTCAGCGTAAAAGTTGAAGTCAAGATTATATATGGCGTTTGATGATGTCTCCAAGAGGCGACGTGAACAGCAGATAAAGCACCGGGCCGGGTTTTGCCTAAATATTCGAGCAAAGTGTCTTTATATTATTACCATTTAAGCGATAGAAAAGGTTTTTTGTGTTTGCATAGCCTGATATAAACACCAGAGGGTTTGGGGGGATTCGAGACAGTTATGCAAACCCGAGTCGAGACGAAGTCGCGGGTTTGCATAATTATCGAGAATTCTCCTAACCCCTCGAGTGTTTATATCAGGATATGCAAACACAGGAAAAAAAGTTTTCTATTGCTTTTATGAAATAACTTTCCCGAGAAAAAAAGCAAAACTCTCTTGTTTAGAGAGCTGATTAAAAGACAAATGCTTACCCGTCGCGAAGTCTTGTACACGAAGCTTGTAGGTGTAATCAGTTCTTGTTTTGCAAAAAAGATGCTTTTCAAAATACGCGTTTAAAATGTCAGCTCAAGCGAAAAAAAAATTGACACAGCATGTTTGTAAAGATTTTCCAAGTTTCAGTCGACAAGGAAATGGGTAAATAAAGTAAACTTGTCGACGAATTTTTCAACTCAGAACCTTTTTCAAATTCGTGCTTGCGTGATTAGCGCGCGAAAAGTAAAACATCTTGACGTAACAACCATGTTTATATACTCTCATGCAAACACGCCTCTCGGCCAATCAGAGCGCGCGTACTATCTGAGTTATTTTATAAATTGTAAGAGAACATAGAGGGGTATTGAATTTCCGTGTTTTAGTTGCGATTAAAAGTAAGTTTTGGGGTCTGATTACTGCGCTTTTCAAAAACACTCGAACACTGAAGTTCAAAAGCTGCCTTCGCAATTGCGTTTTTGGCTGCCGTCAATATAATTACGATCACAAGCAAAGAAGCTACGCAGAGACATAAAGCGGATCGAAATCCATCAGTCACAAACTTCTGTTTCCTAAGAGATCTGCTAAGATGATTGGCGGCAATGAAGAACGCAAACATCAGTTGGCTTTTGAACTTCAGAATTCACGTGTTTTTGAAAAGCGCAGTAAGGGGGAGTTTGGAAAAACCAAGGGTTGGTGAAATTGGAATTTTACTAAAAGACTTTTTCGGTTCTTTTTTAATAGTGAAGTAAACTGAAATTGGCTTAGCTCATTGGTTAATAATAAAAAGCACATTTCCTTTTTTTAACAATTAGAACAACCTTTTTGTACTGAGTTATTGGTTTAATCTTTTGTAGAAACAAAAATTACAAGGATCAAAGAAGAGGGCATGTTTCTCGTTTCAAGATCAAGGTGGATTGAGTGAGGTCAAAGCAAAGCTTTTTCAATACCGGGGAAGATTATCGGCTTTGCGAGCTGGTCAAACGTTTCAAGAATGTCTTAAAAAGGAGGATTTTGTGCTCATGGTAAGTAAAATGAACCTCTTTCATCTCTACTCCAAATCATCGCTTTACATAACATTACAGAGAGTCGCCCCATGAAAGAGAATCCGGATTACGGAGTCCGGGAAATTTTTTCTTGACTGAATCCGGAATCCAGCAATATTCGCTGTTGAATCCGGAATCCTTGGTTTCTGAAATCCGGAACACATTCTAAGGAATCCTGAATCCTACTGCCTGTAATCCAGAAACCAAGTTCCACTGGCACAGAATCGGGGAATCCAGAATCCACACCGCAGAATCCAGAATCCAAGACTAGGACTCCCTTTCATGGATTCCCTCACAGTCGGTAAGAGACCGCCCAAGGTGCGAAGATTAGGTAGCCTGCGAGTATCGAACTATACGAGTCTCTTTCGAGAAGAGGTCCCAAGATATCTGCTTTTAAGCAAAGATTGTTTACTTGCAGTTTGTGTATGTGAGGTTCCACGTTGTCACTTATAAAAGTTCTGTATACTCTTGGAAGCCTAGCACTGATTGTGAACATAGAGATTAGACCACGGGTCAGTTAGTCGCCTACAATAGGTTAAAAATTACAAAACTGTCTCGCCCAAAAGTGGTCCGTAGCGGTCGCTTACTAGAGGTGATCGTTTTCTGCTTAGAATAAAGTGGAGATCGTCTAAAAGCTCTACAGAGCTTGCTTGATCTCCTGCCTTGTAGTAGTGTAATAGGTTATGTGTGTACAAATGAATTTATGGTAAATAATTACAGGGCTTTGATTGGGAAAAGTTTTGATGTTTTTGGATAGATGGTCGCTTATGGAAGGTGATCCCTTATGAGAGGTGATCGCACATGGGCGCGTTCAAATGTATTTTACATTTTATCCTTAAAAATGTTTATAATTTGTCCTTCAAAGGTTTTGTTCTTTGTTTTAGTACGTTGAAGCGATGAAAGAATCGAGTCAAAAGCAGGCCGAGTGTGCTTTATCGCCAGATAAACTAAAGACGATGCTGAATAAGATGAGACCATCTGAACGTTTGGATGCACCTTTACTTGAAGATGAACTAATTCCTGCTTTACCGAGTGAAATCAAGTCTGAACATGAGGAGGAGATCATTGATCAAAGGCTAGTTTATTGATAAGTGCATAAATGAACTAACCCATTTTTTTTTAACAAAAGCGACAATAGCATTGCCATTCTCATCACGTGTGAGAACATTAGTCATGCGATGGTAATAAGCATGACTA